TTCCACACAATGTACCTGTATTGCATGGAGGAAATATCTAATTTTAAATGTTNATTTTTGGCTTTTAAATTCCACACAATGTACCTGTATTGCATGGAGGAAATATCTAATTTTAAATGTTGCTGTGAAATTTGTTTCATTTTTATTAATTTTACATTACATTAAAAATTAACATAATAGCATTTCTTGGAAAACTATTCAGACACAGAGGTAGGCTGGTTTCCAGCCCCACAGGCCTGTTGTGAAGACGATGTCATGACTCCCCAGGACTCAGGCGCACTCACGGCCCTTCTCTGAAGTGCACAGGCAAGGAGGGGGGGCCCACACGCGCAGGCTCCCCTGAAGGCCAGGGTCCCCGATCTCTACATCTACATCATTTTCTGGCTGAATGCCACTGAATGATCGCAGCCTCCCCACAGGGAACTTTGCTCTCCAAGGGGACACAGGTGTCACTAGCCCACAGTGAACCCTGGCTCTCAGCCAGCAGCCCCCTGCCACGCCCGGGTGAAACAGGCAGGGTTGGTTGGGAGGAGCACACCATTGCCCTGAACCCAACCTGTTTAGAGGAGAGGTTACCTGGAGACAGGGAAACCTTGGTTGCCAAGGGCACGATTGTAGGGAACTGCCATGAATTGGCCCTAAAGGAACCTGTGACCACTAATCCTGGAACATGCGTCCACAGGTCAAGACCAGCTGCTGACCAGGTCTCCTCTCCAGGCCTGAGTCTCGAGCTCAGTTAGGGCTCCTACAGACTTACAAAAACTGTACAGGACACCAACATGTGGTTTTCAAGATTTATTTCAGAGTGCTGGGCAGCGAGCTTTCAAAGAGAGCTGGTGTGCAAATGCCCACGCCGCTCGCTCACCCGTGATATACAGCAGGACCCCTGCAGACACCCAGAAATGTGGGCTTGAGCTCTGCCAGCTGGTTATGGCAACCTTTTTCAGGTGTTTCTTCTATGTTGCCTATGGATGCGCAGGGGTCGGAGGGCTGATTGGCTGTTTACTTTTGATCAGCCCTCTCTGTTTGGAAACTAGTTGTCGTGCGATATCTCACATTTGTGGCCACTCCAAAGAGGAGTGAAGCTATGAGAAGATACAGGCGACCAAAGACCACTCTCAAATAGATTACTGACATCCTACTTTGCCGTACTGACCGCATCCTTCCTGGAGGTGGCCCGCTGTCGACACTTCCTCCAGCACCAATTTCTATGCACATAGGGGGTTCCCAGCCTACATGGCAATGGCAGTTATTTCTATTGTTGCAAACTCCATGAAAATTGCATTTTGAAGGGGGACAGTCATAATTTATGTCACTCACAGTACCACTGCAACGACTGTCAAGACAAAACTTTCCATCATCACAGAGGGTACCAGATCTCACAGCACCAACATCAGTTGCTTCTGACCCACGGTGCGAACCCACCCCAAAACACATGGTCCCGCTGATCAGAGACTGGTGGAATCCCACATGTTGCTGCAGCCGAGGCAAATGAGTGACGTTGACACACTGTAGGCGCCCACACTTAATGTTCGCATCACCACAATCCTCCAGTTTGGGTGAGAAAGTAATACCACAGTGTCCAAACCGGTTGGACTTCTTATTCATGTTGTAGCAGTGGTCTGGCCCATTCTCCGCGTCAATACCAAAGATCTCCTTGCAGTGCAGGCTGCGGTCAGTACAGTTCCCATGATAGCAGTAGCCGTCTTCGGTACAAGGGGTTCCATCTTGCAGATAAACATCTGCAGGGCATGTCGGGGTTGACCCGGGGCAGTACTCCGGAAGATCGCAGATGCTTTGCATTGTTCTGCACATCGTCCCTGGGACCACGTTGGTGCAGTTTGCGCAGCACTTGCCTGTGTTACAGGAAGTCCCAGGCGTAAAGGTGCAGTCATTGTTGCAGCATGGGTTGTTATAACACTCCTTGAAGGACCCACAGTCACACTGCTCTGTGCCCTCCACCAAGTAGTTTCCGCATCGGTCCAATACCAGGCTTTGATTGTAATACGTGAAAGCAGGGATGTACAAGCAGGGTGCTAAAGTATTACTAACCACGTTTTGCATGTGAAAATAGGAACAGTTACTGTATGAATCTGTCAACACAGGGTATCTGTACATGATGCAGGTGGTCCTTCTCTGGCAAATACATTCTGCACCATCAATAAACAGACCGAAAAGTTTCGAGACTTGGTGGGTGGCTATAATCGATAGCAAAAAGTGATGTCTGTTTAAGTGAGCCATAAAGACAATACCTTTTGGCCAGCACAGATGGTATGTGGTTGGATTAAACTGAAGTTCATGGGGGGAATCTTTATTCATAACTACGATGGCATGCGGTGTAAAAGAGGGATAAATGTGATTCAAATAATACTTAGCAAATGGACCATCTGGTACATTAAAGTTGTTCATATGGGTTGGATCTCTCTTGTCATAAATTAATATGAGAGAAATATAGAGCTTTAAATCCATACCTCGCAACAGGGTGTCCATTATATTACCTATCTGTATCAGGAATTCCACACATTTTGTCACATTACTGTACATAGTATAAGTTGAATAGGAAAACACAAAGCAGCCTTTAATCTTTCCTCCATGGGATGGGTAGAGCTTACTACTGACCCTGGAGACTAAACTGACGTTCACCTGAGACGACNTGGGATGCGTAGAGCTTACTACTGACCCTGGAGACTAAACTGACGTTCACCTGAGACGACAGGGGGTGCCTCTCTTCCTTGTGTCCCAGCGGGAACATGGGTCCTATGGCATTGGTGTCTGCCACTATCTGAGAAACTATGTGTTCAAACCTGTGGGAATCCTTCAGGGGTTTGATTTCATAGGCAAGGTCATCCAACTTCATGATACCTTCCAGGCCCCCATAGCACGTGTCCACGGTGACCATGGAAAGAGGGACGTCCTCCAGGTAGCCGAGGTAGTAACAGTCCAGAGGGACAAAGGGGTAATCCATCTGCAAGGCTCCCTGGTCATCCTGAGTCATTATCACCAGATTTCGGGGCCAAAACAGTTTCTTTCGCCGCATGTGGATAACGTGTCTCTGGCCCCCAAAACTCAGGCTGTAGGAGAGCCAGCCTGGAATCCGAACACCTTTGCCAAGGTGCAGCTCTTCCCTGGGAATCACCACCTCGGAGGAGATGTAGCGCCACGAGGGACGACCTTGAGAACTCTGGACTGGAGCCAGCACCACCCAGAGCCCAAGCAGCAAGAGGGGCACCCTCAGGGAGACCGAGCCCTCCACCAGCCTCATGCTCTTGGTGGAGGAGAACCGTCAGCGGGAATGGAGAAAAGGAAGGTCCTCAGTGAAGCCGGACCCCAACCCTGTGCCCGGCCACTTCCTACCAAGAAGATACTGAGGGAAAACCTACCCTGAGTGGGTCAGCTAAGGGGATTAGGTAACAGTTACAGGGTGTGGCACTGGGTGTGGCTGCACTTGCTTCCAGCTGGGGTGGAGCTGGGAGAGGAGAGGGTCTCAAGTGAATGTTGGGAAGGCAGGTTCCAAAATGACCGTCTGTGACCAGGAGCAGGTAACATGATCCACTCCCATCTCAGAGTCCCTGCTGGTCCAGAGTAAGTGCCTGTGTTTCTCTGGGAGATGAGTCCAGATACTCAGAACCTCTCTGTGGTCAAGGATCTGGGAGACCTTCCTGAGCGTTCACCTGTGGGGTGGGGCTGCACTGCCCTGGGAGAGGTGAGAAGAGAGGAGGGAAAGGAGAGTCTAAGACCTGTGTCTGCAGCATGGCCTGCTCTGGACTCACGGGAGACAAGTCCTAAACTGTCCCCAATCCTATTTCCAAGTCAGGTATGGAGGGATTCATCCCGTGGAAATATTCTCTCCACCTGTAGACCTGGGATACTAGACTGCAGCTTACCTCCTAAAGAACAGCTGAGAGGCAGGCTAGGATAGTTACAGACATTTCCATTCCCAGGAGATCAATGGAGTTTAGGAAGAAATCACCATCCTGAGGCAATGCTGACATCCCCGTGAGCTACCTCCCTCCACACGGGCCTGGGATCAGCCTTCTGAGGCTCAGACCCCAACCCCGGGCCTGGGCTCTGCTCTCGGATCCCCCCTCCTGAAGGTGCAGGGGTTGGAGCAGAGCACGTCCCTCAGCCTGTCTGCTGCCTGTGGATTATTGAGTCTGAAGCTTCTTTCACTGTGTTCTCTCTGTTACTACAGAAAAGCTCTTCTGACAGTCGCTAAATTGGAAAGGAGATTCTGTCCAAGGCTCTTTTAATAGGGATGTAGCCACAGGAGAGACACAGGGCTCACCTGGGATGCAGCAGAGACCTGTGTGGAATGAGGGCCAAGGAGCAGCGGGAGGGGCCAGTGGATGGAAATAACTCAGAAGGGACGTCCTGTGAACAGCAGGGTCCAAGGTGCTCCTACTGGAAGGGACCCGACAGGCAGCTGGATGAGAGGAAGGGTCCCTAAATTTCTGTGGGCCTTGGAGGGAAACGTGCTCTCAGGACCCCTGGGTGCTCAGGATCCACTGAGCTCATGTTCTAAGGACGATGGTGGGTTAGGGGCACGTCTACAGTCCAGTTTTTATGTCCGTGCTCTGAAAATATATTTTAATATGTATTTATATATTTCAGAGAGAGGAAGAGAGAGAAAGAAACATCAACTATGAGAGGCATTGATGGGCTGCCTCCTGCATGCCCCGTACTTGGAATCAAGTCTACCACCCAAGCACATGACCTGAGCAGGAATCGAACCATGAATTCCTGGTTCATAGGTGGACACTCAAAACCTGAGTCACACTGGCCACTGTGTGAATATATTGATTACATGCAGACCCTACAAAACACTTATCTAAATGCTATGGAAAGACAGAGCTATCCACCTCTTACAATAAACTCTCAGAATAGTAATAACCAAACTTGCAAAAAACAGACTGTGGTTAAATTCACTCCTATTACAATGGCATTGACTGTGAATTTAAACTGCAAAGGCCTCCATCTCACAAATGAGTAATTAACCTTAAGTTCAAGCAGCCCCACTGATCATAGGCATCCTGACTTAAATTTATTTCACTAATAATTTATCTTCTTATTTTCTATAAGGATATTCATTACCTTCTATGCAGAGAGACCATCTGTAAATGTCCTTCTGGTTGTTGGAAACCCACAGCCCCTCCATCAGCTCCATGAATCTCTCTAACTTCTCAGTGTCTCTGAGTCCCCAGGATAGAAAAGCATCTTCTCAACACTCAGTCTTGTTTGTCTCCTTGAGGGTCAGGAAGCCAGAGACGCTCAGGGCCAAGGGCAACAACACACCACGTACATGGAGCCACCCTTACAAGGCCTGCAGCCTGAGGTCTCTTTCCCAGGAAGGTGCTTGTCTCCAGCCCTGAAGTGTGGGTAACACTAGAAGACAGACTTTCATTCTTGCTTTCATTATATACATGGGCTTCTGCACCCTCACTGGGCAGGTCCCTATCTGCCCTGGAGAAGGTTTATGGGAGCACTGGGAGCCAGAGTGGAAGAGCACAGGCCAATACTTGACTCACTGGTACCAGATATGGTCTGTTGGACTTGAATTAACCCTTGGGATTCTTTATTTACTTAATTAAAATCTCCCATGGCCATCCCAAAGCCACAGGACACTCTCACCTGCACCGAAGCACTGCCCTTTCTGTATGTTCAAGCACAGAGATCCTTATATGGTAGGAGGACATGCCAATAGATTTAAAATTGACATGTAGACAAACTTAATAACATAAGAGAACAGGGGACACCCACCCCTGGAATCTTACTCGGCCATGAGAAATAAGGCTCTGTGCTGCCCACGTGAGCACCGTGGGCCCAGTGATGGCTCAGAGTGAAGGGAGTGGGTCTCAGAGACGACCCGGGAGGCTTNCACGTGAGCACCGTGGGCCCAGTGATGGCTCAGAGTGAAGGGAGCGGGTCTCAGAGACGACCCAGGAGGCTCCTCTGGTTTGGGGGGGCTTCTGTCTCCCCCATTCCCAGGGCAAAGCTCCACCCTGTGCACTAAGGTTCCCTGCTGTCCACAGGGCCCTGAGGGATGGACGGCTCCACACTCAGAGGCAAACACACCCAGGCCCCTGTGAATTTCGTGTCCGTGGTCAGGGTCTGGTGTCCGTCCTGCCAGCAGCTGTCTCCTCCAGCTACCTCCGACTTTGCTCCCGTAGGCGCCCAGGACCCCAGGGCAGCCCACCCTCCGCTCTTCCACGTGCCTGGCACCGGCCTTCACCACACCCAGGCCCCGGGCTCCTCTACACTCTGCTGGAAGGAAACCTAATTTAGTTCACAGCCTACCTGGGATCGTACAACACATGCCTTTACCTGAGTCTTCATTTCACAGAGCTCACTGGCCCCAGTGTCACCCACGCTGGGCTTGTGGCAGGATTTCCCCGTTTGGAGGCTGAGTGATATCCTGTCCTGCCTTAGGACACCGGTTGTCCCTTCATCCGTGATGGACGTTGGGTGGCTTCCCGTCTGGGCGACTGATTCCTGCCCAGTGAGTGGGCAGGGCAGCACCTCTTCACACTCCGTCTTGGTCACTTGCAGGGACACCAGGGCTGGTTGCTCAGTCGAACAGGCTTCTCCTTCCATTTCTGGAGGGACCAACGTGCCGTTTCCCATGCAGCTGAAGGACGTCACCTTCCCATCAGGAGGGTGCAAGGGCTCCTTCCTCCCCTCGCTCCCCAGCACGGGACCTGCTTTCTCTGGTTTGTTTCTCACGTAGTAGCCGTCCTACCAGGAGTGAGGAGGTTTCCTCTTGGGTTTTCGAAGTGGACTCCTGAGGATTCGGGTGGACTCATGAGCCTGCTGACAGCTTTGTCCATTTCTGCGTCTGGGGTGGGGTTTTCCAGGGGCCCCAGGACATCAGGGGGTGCTGAGGTCATTCAGGTGCTTCTCACAAAATCCGTGGGGCACTCGGGATTCACCAGAGGACATCGATACCTTCAGGGTCCCCTCAAGACAACAGGGGGACACCAGGGACAACCAGGGGGTGATCAGGACAAAAGGGGGGCAGTCAGAACATCAGGAGACAACCCTGATGCTGCTCCACAGGGACAGTGATGACCGAGGCCCACTCTCAGGGTTCTGTTCCTGCATCGACACCTGTTTTGCTCCAGAGGGGACCCCTGTCCAGTGTTCTTCATGGTCCTGCCCTCAGGGCTCAGGGCTGTGCTCTCACAATGGGCACCAGAGGGTGTAGACCTGTGTGACCCTCCCCACATGGCGGGTCAGTGTGGCTGCAGGGACTGGACATGGGCCCCTGGGTCTGACCTCCCAGGACCAGACAGAACCCTTCTCCTGTGGCGTCTGCAGGTCCAGCTGCTGGGAGAACAGGAAACCACAGGGCGGGCTCGCTCCAGTCTCCACGTCCAGCGTGTTCGCTTTCCTCTGTTTGTGGAAGCTGGTCACACACTAGGTCAGGGTCAGTGTGGGGGCCCCGCCCATGTGCTGGGTACAGGCGAGAAGGGACATTTAGGGTCATTATGATGAAAATCCTCCACAGAGTGTGTCTTTCTAATTTATTGAATAATAGAATTGTAGCAGTGAATCTTGAGCCACACATGAGGATATTTAGATGGGACCTTCAGCCAGAGGAACCTGAGGACATAAGAGGCCCCAGAGCCCCCGACAGCTTCTGGACCCAGAGGAGGGTCGGCTGTGTCCGTGCATCGGGCAGGTCCAGGGAGGGGTCCCTGTTGGCTCCATAAAGCCCTGTCTTGGGTTCTCCAGGCAGAGCCATTGGGATCCGGGGGGCCAGGTCCCTCTGTCCAGAGATGTCAAAAGCATGTGGGGTCCCCGAGGGAACATTCTGAGTCAGGGCGCAGCCTTCACTCCTGGACTAGAGATGCTGAGAGGTCAGTGCCCTGGGAGCCCAGCAGGACCCCCCTCAGAGCATGGGCTGGGCAGCAGGGGGCGCTCAGGACCCAGGAGCCCGGGGCTGCTGCCCCAGGAGCAGGCGCAGGGCAGCTGGGCAGGGGTTTCCTCCGAGGGCCTGGTCTTCCTGGGAAATATCAATACAGCCTGACAGATGGGCAGGGACTGATGATCTGCCCGTAAATAATCGTGTTTCCCAGGAGCAGGTCTGTCCACTGATGAGCCCTAAGAACCACCCACAAAGCTCGTGGACCTGTGGCTTCTGCTCATCCGAATTGTAGGGACTGGCACAGGGAGGGGCTTAGTGACTCACTAGGGGCAGCATTTTGGAAACAGTGATCCAGGAATAAGACATTCAGGTGTCAAAGGCCAGAGCTGGCCCAGGTGGTCCCCGTGTCACCCAAGGTGGGCTCACAAACAGGAGCAGGTCCTGAGGGTTGTTGCTCAGCGGGAGGCGCTGTGTCTGCCCGGAGCTCAGGGACCTGGCAGGGACACGGACCCTCCAACAAGGAGTAGGACCTGGGCCCTCAGGCTACCACGGGCCATGGTCACCGTGTCTCCGTCTTCTCTCAGGTGGGGTCCAGCCCTCAGCTATGACATGCTCTGCCTCATGAATATGCAAATGAGGGGAGGGAGACTGGGTTTATGTGGACGAGTCTGTGCCCTGAGCACATCCCCACAGCTCACCCTCCCCTCCAGCAGAGCCCAGCACAGCCCCGCACCATGGACTGGACCTGGACAACCCTGCTCCTGGTGGCCGTGGCTACAGGTAAGGGCTCCCCAGGGATGGATGGAGGGGGGACCAGGGACAGTCAATGGGGATTTCCTCTCACTCCTGTGTCCTCCCCGCAGGTGTCCATTCCCAGGTGCAGCTGATACAGCCTGGGGCTGAGGTGAGGAAGCCTGGGGCCTCAGTGAAGGTCTCCTGCAAGGCTTCTGGGTACTCCTTCACCAGCTATGGTATGAATTGGGTGCGACAGGCCGCGGGAAAAAGTCTCCAGTATATTGGCTGGATCAACACAAACACTGGGAAACCAACGTATGCCCAGGGCTTCTCAGAACGATTTGTCTTCTCCATGGACACCACTGTCAGCACAGCCTTTCTGCAGATCAATGACCTCAAGTCTGAGGACTCGGCCGTGTATTACTGTGCGAGGGACACAGTGAGGGGAGGTCAGTGTGAGACAGACACAAACCTCCCTGCAGGAGGGGCTGAGGCCACCAGGGTGCTCAGGGGCCCTGAACACAAGGACCCTCCCAGGAGCAGGTGCGGTGGGAGGTTTGGGCTGTTTCCTGGCTGGTTTCCTCTTCAGGTCACAGTTTCGCTCAGGAACCTCTGTGGATCCCTGATTCTGCACTTTCCTCTGAGGTCTGTCATCTAGAAATGTCTGTTGTAAACAGAGATGACTTTCTCATGTGGACAATAGGCAGAGAGTCTTTTTCAGGCACTCGATTCCCCAAATGAAATTAATCATCAAATCTTCTGACCACCGTCACCTAAATCTAACAGGAGTCTCTGCTGACTGCACAGAGCAGCTCAGCCCCTCACAGCTCAGGATCCCAACTATCCAGCAGCAGGACACATAGGTTCAGGACAGCGGGCAACTGAGGGGTGTGAACAGAAAGCTAGAGAAGAAAGACCCAGGTGGTGACACTCATTGACCTGTCATCATGCTCACAGCACCAAGAGTAGGTGACACCAGGCAGAGGGAGATGGACCCAGGATGACATGGTGGGTCGGTAGAAACACCTTCCCTCTGGACCCTGATTAGGGACTGTCTAGATCTTGACCCAGAAGGCAAGCGGTGGGAGAGAACCACAGAGGACGGCTGTCTCTGGGCTGCGGCTCCAAAGGACAGAGAGAGGCCTCTGCCTGAGAATCCTTGTCCCCCGGCCTTAGAGGCTTTGGCACAGGTTGGTGGGGTTGTGAGGATGGCGATGAGCTCCGTCTGCGGGACAAGGCAGACTTAGGGACGCCTCGGCTCCATACTGCGAGGAGGATGAATGGCTCATGATTATGGAGGAAAAGCCCAAGGAGGAAGGGTCTGGCGGGCGGCTGGGACATTTAGAGCAGCTAATGCAAGGCTTACAAGAATGGATGCAAAAATTGCATAGCTGTCTACAAGGAGGCATCCTAAGAAAACACCGCAGGAACATCAGAATAAAACTGTCTTTTTAGAGCAGCAAAGTGGTAAAGAGGAGAGGGGACTGGAAATACACGGCATAGCTTGTGACACTCAAGGACGTTATAGTAGAACAGCATGTGCAGATCTTATTCATACCAGTTTCCGGGCAGCTGGTTCACCCAGGTAAGCAAGGCTGAACAGCAAGAGGGGAAATGGACTTTTTCACTTCTCCTCCCCAGTAACGACCCCTTGTTTACTGTGATTTATTTCCTACTTCTGAGTTGACTTTCCCTGGAAAGGAGACTGCTTAACGTGTAAAGCTTTGCCGAAGAGTAGGGTGCATGACAGATGCTGAGTTCTGGGCTGCACTCACACCGAGGTCTGCTATTGTCGATGATTGTAAATAGCATATATATCCATATATTAATGCCAATAGTTTAACTCAACAACATGTAATCTAAGGTGACAGCGCTTTTGGCAAGCCAAGTCTCGGTCTACCTATGCCCTTGTGTGGTGGAAAGATCCACTCAGGGGGCAGTGGCAGGGGTCCCGATCCAGTGCTCACTTGGGGGCGAGGGCATGTTTGTGTTTTCCCACAGGCTGCCCAGGCGGTGCGGTGGCTCCCGGAGAGGCTGGTGCGGTTTGCGGAGAACCAGTCGACTGGCAGAAGGTTTCTCCACAGCTGAGCGGCATTGGAGAACCCCAGTAGAAAATGTGCTGAGGATCTGTGGAGACTCTACCAACAACAGAGCATGGACGAGTTCAACCCAATGTTTGGAACTTAGTAGCAAACACGGACATTGTCACAGTGAGACAGAAAGATGAGAATCATCCAAATGGGAGCTAGTCTGTTAAAGGAGGTTTAGCCCGTGTTCCTCCTCCTTATGTATGACTGTTAGGTAAGGTTTTGATGAAGAAATTAGCTGTTTATTATACCATTAATTGTGTAAATTGTAACCTTGCAAATTGTGTATCTAGTGCTAAGGCAAACTTAGATTTACTGGTATTGCACCAACCTGCGTTGGTAATGCTTCCAGTTAAGATTCAAGGACGCTGGTGTACTAATGAAGGACATGAAGTGTTGCAAGAGTTAAATGAACTGTTGGAGAGACCTAAAAGATCCTTGGGATTGCTGATAGCTGGTATTGCTGCTTTAGTTTCTATTATTGCTACTGCTGTTATTGCTGTTATTGCTCTTACTCAAGAAATACATACAGCGAGTTTTGTTAATGGGTAAGCAAAAAATGTATTTATTAATATTACCCACTTATATGCTAATATAAATGCTATCGAATCTACTCCTCCTTTAGATACCTCACCTGCTGACTTAGCTAGAAAACAGTTTGACAAGTTTTCTAATATTATCTCTAGACATTGTTTATCTTCATTATTTTATTCTGGTATTATGTTGTTGGATTTAGTGTTAATATTCCTATGTTTATTGCCAGTCTATGTCCGAGTAACAATACAAAACACCTCAGAGCTGCAGATAGGAGTCCACTGGCTCAAATTAAAAAAGTAAAGAAGGGGGAGATGTTGGGAGCCGGTTACCTGTCTGGACATGGTCCCCGCCACCTGAGGGTCTGGAGTCAGGGACTCGACTCTCCCCACAATGACCCTTGATATTGAGAGCCCGCTACATGTCTGGACATGGTCCACGTAGCCTGAGGCTCTGGAGCCAAGGACTCAATCCTCCCCAAAAGTTCCCATTAGAAGCTGAGATAAAGATAGTTACCAAGGTCTCAGCTCATGCAGGTGGCAGAGTGTTTACTCTGAAAGAGCATTCAAACGGCCTTGTAGGAATGTGGGGAGGGGTGCTATTCAGCAAAATCAACAGTGCCTGTATATATTGAGCTGGGAAAATAAACTAGAGGCTCGCAGTTGGCAGCAGGCACGAGCTACAGTCCTCCCGATTCCATCTTTTTTGTGTCTGTCTTTTCTCCATCCTCACCCCTTCCTCAGGACCGTTCGACTCTGCCAGCGGGCTCCGGCAGTTGTGCTATTCCTATTGGACCACAGCTATCATAACACTCACCAAGAGGCTAATGTATGATTGCAGACATGAGATCTCATGAGAGGACTCCTACGGCCAATGAACCTAGAGGTTGTTGGGGGACAGGAGATGCACAAAGTGAACAGACCTTGGGTCCTGTCATCCTGTGACACTCAGATTTCAACCATCACTAAGATTTATTGTGTCACTTCATAGTGGTCCTGGGACCAACAGAGACTTCAGTTGTACCTTCCAGATCTCAGAGAATCTGACTCCCCTTAGCTCACCTAGGACCACCTCACGGTGTTGCACAACCTTCGACATTGTAGTGAGAACACTGGGGCCACAGGTGGATACAACCCCAAAGTGTGGGTAACACTAGAATACTGGGGCTCATTAAGGATCACCTTGAGCTCAACGGGGTCTGAACCCTCAATGGAAAGGTCCCGCTATGTCCAGGAGTTTTTTTCAGAGTAGTAATGGGGACTAGTGAGGATTATCAGAGCCTTGATGCTGGGTCACTGTTACCAGATGTGATGTCATCAACAAACCACAAATATCCCTATAATTCTGTAATTAGTGAGTGAAAAGCTCCGTGGCAAACAAGTACCCTAGAACCCTCTCACCTGCACTGAGGCACTGACTTTCTGCAGGCTCACCCCTGAGCTCTCTATATAGCAGGAGGACATGCAAATAGGGCCCCCTCTGCTCATAAAAACCAGCCCAGCTCCGACCCTGCAGCTCTGGGACAGGAGCCCAGTCCCAGGATTCCCAGCTGTT